TTACACCTTTTGTGTTTAAAAATACTTTGACTTTTACGTCTTTGCTCTTTTTATTTCCCCATAGGGGGTTTAAAAAGCGGGTAATTAATGTTAAACGTTACACAATAGGCGCTTTAATGAAAAATGACTCTTTGTAACAGTTTACCGTTCTTTATTTATATAAGTGATAAAAGAATATTATATTCGTGTAGATTCAATACTAAATTTATTGAACGAGTTGAATAAAACAGAGGCTCCCATAATATGAATTTATTCAACTCGTTAAATAGATTAAATATTAAACTCTACTCATTCAATATCCTCTATTTCTGAATTCATTTACATCATACATTTAATTGTATCTACATAAAAATTCATTCACATCTGAGTGATATTCAATTATTATTATTATATATATAAAAATGACAATGAAAATATCGGAATGAAAATGAAGATATCAGAATGACAATGAAGATATAAAAATGACAATGAAGATATAACAATGATAATGAAGATATCAGAATGACAATGAAGATATCAGAATGACAATGAAGATATAAGAATGACAATGAAGATATCAGAATGACAATGAAGATATCAGAATGACAATGAAGATATAAGAATGACAATGAAGATATCAGAATGACAATGAAGATATAAGAATGATAATGAAGATATCAGAATAATAATGAAGATATCAAAATAATAATGAAGATATCAGTATTATAATGAAGATATCAGAATGATAATGAAGATATCATTATAATAATGAAGATATCAGTATGACAATAAAGATATTGGAATGACAACCATACATCTTACTCCGTTTCATCATACATTTGTATCTACATAAAAATCCATTCACATCAGAGTGAAAATGGTAATATTTAATGATTATAAAGACATATAATAATGACAATGAAGATATCAGAATGTGAATGAAGATATAATAATGACAATGAAGATATCAGAATGTGAATGAAGATATCAGAATGACAATGAAGATATCAGATTGTGAATGAAGATATCAGAATGACAATGAAGATATCAGAATGTGAATGAAGATATCAGAATGACAATGAAGATATCAGAATGTGAATGAAGATATCAGAATGACAATGAAGATATCAGATTGTGAATGAAGATATCAGAATGACAATGAAGATATCAGAATGACAATGAAGATATCAGATTGATGGTGATATTAGAATTATAATAAAGATTTGTAATACATAATCTATGGATCATAAAATTGATCATCGGTAGAAAATATTTTAATTTCTGTTGATCCAGAAGTGTACTTGAACACTCAAATGAAGGCGAAAGTTCATTCACAAGGTAATGTTTTCTTCAAAAAACTTATAAAATTCATTTTATTTTAATATCGAAATTCAGTTCTACCCCTCTGACTTTCCTCTATATCATTTTAGGATTTCCACACAGTGTGGATATATTTTTTCCTGCGTGTGTCTGATGTGTCTATGGGTCCTTGCGTGGCGTAAAATAAGAAATGTGAATGCTACACAAAGTACGGGCTCAAAACAGAAAGATTTTATGAACACTGAACGCGGAATGATGCTAAATTTTCAAACAGACCTTTATTTCAACATTAATTGATATTTTTCTTTAAAACATGAAATCTGCGGTCAAAATTTCATTGGAGTTTCATATAAAGAAGATAAAGAGATCATGTTCAATGGCTGTTACATTTTTGTTTTAATCAAGGTGTCCATATTGCAGAGTTGTATTCAATGTGTTCTAACATGTAATTTGAAAAGTTGTAAAAATATTTCTTTATTCATATAGGTTAAAAGTAACCATACGTCCTAGGCTCCTAGTAGCCTTATTAATTTATCTATTTATCTGATTACTAAAGATTACATTTAGGTATTTTAGTATTTCATACAAATGGGGCACATTTTACCTTATGTGGAAAGTTTTGCTGTTTTAGTCTTTTTATGGAAGATAGTTTGTCATTTCCTTGACTAGTCACTTCAAAATGTTATCCTGAATTTAAAAAATATATTTTAGTGTCTTCTGTAAAAGTTTATATGTATAGGATATTGCCTCAGGAAAGTCATTTGTAAAATATTTAAAAAAAAAAAAACTGGCCATATTATATTTCCCTTTGGAGCTCAACTTATAACAGTTTGCTGACTTGAGAAAGTTCCGTTTATCTGACTCTTTGCTGTCGATTTTCTAAATAACTGTTTATCTATCCATACTAGTAGATTTTGCCTCATTCACCTATAAGCTCCAGACCTTATTTAATTAATACCAATAAATAACTGTTAATCCATCCTTACTAGTAGATTTTACCTCTTACACCTATAAACTCCAGACCTTACTTAATTGATACCAATAAATAACTGTTTATCCATCCATACTAGTAGATTTTGCCTCTTGCACCTATAAAAGCTCCATACCTTACTTAATTAATGCCAAAGCTCAATTCTGAAATCCATATGTAGTCCCGGAAGTGTAAAGAATTTATTGCATTGCCTCTTATCCCTCAAAATTCCATTTTATTCATATCGCCCATCGTTTTCTTGTTTAGTGCACACGCATTGTTTTACTTTAGGGCAATACGACGCTTTTCATGGAAAGCTCGAACATACCATAATCAAGGTTCCGTGATATCCGCCGTATTTACGCATTTGCGGACGTTTTTAAATAAAAATGTTCGCTGTTTTCATGTTTTAATGTTGAATTCTGCTTTAGCGATGCGTGGGCGGTAGCTTGCACTTACCAGTACTTTCCATGAACAGACTCAATCAAACTGAGCTTGCAACGTTTTTAATTTTGTGGTTTTGGGATCATAGCTGATTTTTGCTATTTTAATAATGTATTATGGGTTTATTTATTAATATACACAGAGCGTGCACTTGTAATATATAATTATCACATATACGTGATGCTATATATATAGTTCTATCGTTTTATGACCACAGACTGTTCAGTGTATATATAAGTGTATTGGCGGGAAGATAATGGACATGCGCATTACAGTATAAGATAAAAAAAGTGCAACATAGAACAAATAATTACTGTTATTTCTGTAACTTACCAATAACAAGCTATACTATTTGAGGCTGAAACACAAACAATTGATACTACCAAATCATGCAGATTTATCTAGTTAACCAATTAACTCATATACGCGCGTTGTTTTCACTCCATTTCAGTGGAAAAAAATACTCTATTTCGGCCTTAAACACTTGTTTTCGTTTAAGAATGTTTTATAAAAAGTGATCACATTTTTCGGCGCCGCCTCATCAAGAAAATTGTGGACTTGTAAGTGGCTAAAAATGGTCTCAGGTTGATCATAGGTAATTTGTAACCAACGCTGAAAGCCATTCATGTAAACGACAATAAATATATAAAAACATATTCACTGGTTTTGTTGTATATTGACATTAACAAATAAATATCTTAGTCATTATTCTATTGCGGCTTCTCCGATAATTAAATCTACATGAGGCAAACGTGGCCGAGTGGTTAAGGTCGTTGACTTCAAACCACTTGCCCATCACCGCTGTTGGTTCGAATCCCGACAGGGACTTTGGATTATTTCATGTGAGGAAGCTATCCAGCTAGCTTACGGAATGTCGGTGGTTCTACTCAGGTGCCCGTTCGTAACTGAAATAATGCACGGAAGGGCACCTGAGGTCTTCCTCCACCAGGAAAGCTGGAACGTCGCAATATGACATATACTGTGTCGATGTGACGTAAAACCCAAAAAAAAAAACCAAACAAACAAACATGAGGCAAAAATGCTGAAATCCATATCCGCATTTTTATTGTTTATTTGTATATCGGTACATGTTATAATGTCAACTGAAAGAAAGTGACACATTTTATATATCGATGGAAAAGTTGTTATTTGCCTTACAACTTCATTCAAAAATGTTTGCAAAAAAAAAAATTAACATAAAGATTCATGTTTAAACCAGGAGACCTCTTTTGACCAGTTCCGAAACATGTATTTTTGATGACGGGATTACTATCAGAATGTACCCAAATGAAAACTTTCGCGTTTTCTTTCAAGAAATAAATGTTTTTTTTATATTGAAATATATGAATAAGTCTTATTATGTAAGAAAGTGTGCCGACATTTTATTTGAGGTTATTTGAGGTATACGTATTTTAAAGTTAAATTATAATCATTTTTTTTAAATGCGCTTACTGTAGGCCACTATAATATAGTAGGAAAGTCGTTACTTAAAATACCCTACAATGTTATCATTTTATAACAAGATTAGTATAGTGTAATATAACTGAAACTGAATAATGAAATAAAATGCAGAATATATAGAGCAAAACAAAACATGGACATGGATGTCTACATGTGTCAGTGTTGACAGATATTATTTAAACTAAAGATGAACGTTTGTCAGTATGGACAAAATTAAAACCATAGATTATCTATAAAAAGTATTTACCAGTAATGGGACTAGAATTAGTGTTGTTCAAGCATTATTGCAAAACAAAAACTTATTTTCATCTTGGACATTGTATACGATCACTGTTTTAAACAGAACTTACCAGAAATAATGACAAAAATCAAATGCATGCAATGCAGTTGCAGTTCTGCTTCATCTCACGCCAAGCATGGTGGTGCATTACAGTTTACAATACTATATATATGTATACCCCGAATGAATATTAAAATAATAAATAAGACTGGAAAATTGTAGTGTACTGACTTAGTTTTAGTATTAGCTCGCAAAAAAAGTCAAATTCTTCGTAGATAATATCACAAATGGCATTTGTAACGTTATATGTGCACCAGAACTTGCTTCGGAACTGGTGAAACCAACCAGATTCAATCAAGCAGTATTCTTACTAGAAAAAAAGATTATATATTTCCTAATAATTTTTAGGTTTGAAGTCGAATTAAATATCAACTAGCTAGCAGGTACATTTTATAAACCAACTATTTGTTAATTTGTATGCAGCTAGATACTGTTGTGAATGCAGGAAATGATTTAGTGGTCCTAGACCTACCGGACTGCATGCGCATGCGCGACGGTTTTCGCGGGACTGAAAAAGTCCCTGGATAGTTCTAGGACTGAGTGAATTGAGTTCTGCGTTGGCTGGCGAAGTGGCAACATCGAGACCAAGCTTTGGTAAGCTCCCGGCCTGTTTTCCCTTCTTTAGGCTATGATTTAAGGAAATACAACATTGGCGACGAGGATTAAAACTGGATAGCAGGGCAGTGACTTTTGCATGTCATAAACGTCGTTCATTTGTAGTCAATTTTCGCGACATTCTGGACCGTTGCATAAATTGGAAAATTGACTTTGACATACAGTTGGCATTGTAAAATAACCACTCGACGATAGCCTAAAGGGTTGATGTACTAGTATTTTTTGATTTTGTGGCTTCTAGCTTTTATTTAAAAAAATACTTGGTCAACATAAAGTTTGGGAAACTGCAGAATGGTATGCTTTTCATAAATAAATAATTCCACGCTAAATTCACAGTAAAGCACGCCCAGTATTGTCTTTTTATTTACTTTAGCCCTTTTCAGAAACGACTTTGAAGATATAAGAGACAGTGACAGCATAAAGACAGTGTGAAAGGTATACAAGTTATCTACCTTGAATATCTTATTTCAGTTGTTTACAAGTGAACCAGGATCACCAAATAAATTATTTCTTGTATTCTATATCAGAAATAATTGCGGATAATTAATTTATTGTAGATTTGTTCAGAAATATTTTACATAATTTCACATAAATTTTTGATTTAATTCTTGAATGTGAAGTAAAATAAATTAAATCAGCTGTGACAAAGTAAAATCTATATTATTTAAAGGAGCTGTCTCAAGTATTCAGTAAATACATTTGATTTAAAGAACCTGTCTCATATAAGTCGATTAAATTTTTTAAAGTAACTTTTTAATTAATATTCGGTGTATTCTATACTCGAATAACTAAATAAGTGGAATTTATTTTTTAAAGCTACTTTCACATATATATTCGGTGTATTCTATACTCGAATAAATAAACTTGTATCAATTTTCAATTGTATTCTATACATTGAAAATTTGTGATTACATTGTGTCCGCAATACATTGACTGACTTAAGTTATCATCATGTCAACATTTAATGTAAACACAATGACTAAAGAGGAGTTGATGAAATTGCCAGCTATTGGTGCGAAAAGGGCACTATCAAATGGATCCTTGCAATACAGGTATACTTGGTTCTTCTAGAACAAGGTTTACAAGTACGGTAGATGATGTCAAGTCTAAATATTTCAGTCACAGTGCATCCAGGTCATACAACACTAAATTGGACACAAGGTATGGCAACCCTAAATGTATATCTCCTAAGAAAGAATATACATCTGCTACTTATGTATATGGAGATACACAACAACAGTCGAGGTCAACTAAAGGGTCTTCTAGACATTTAGATAAATATGAATGCCAGAAGAAAAATTCAAGAAGAGACCGTCGAGGTTACCATACCAGATCAGAAATGTCAAGTGAAAGTAGCGATAATAGTAGAAGCAGATCAATCGGTAGAAGAGATGTTCAGTCCAGATACAGTAGTGATGGTAGAAAGAATCGGGACAAGATTGGTTGCAACAATCGGTCTTCTTCTAGAAACCGTTTGTCGAGAGATGATAAGTATAGTCGTACATCACGGTCGTCTTCTAGACACCAAAGATCAAAATCCAGAAGTCCGAGCTTTTCAAGGTCAAGATCATACAGATATAGGAATAGATCTTCAAGCAGCAGCAGTAGCACGAGATCTCGATCAAGAGGCTATGGTCATTCAGGGTCAAGACGTCATAAGTACGGGTCCCATGATAAGTATTGCAAGCCATCTAGACGACATGACAGAAGTCGCTCTTCGAGTTATTCTGATCGAAGCAAGTCAGAAAAGAGGGGTAACCCGAAGGAACTTCCAAGTATTTTGCGGTATGATGGGAAGACAAGCTGGTTATCTTTTAAAGAACAATTTGAAAGTTATCGAGCTGTTTCGAACTGGACTGACAGTGAAAGTAAAGATTACCTTACTTGGAGTCTTCAAGGTAAAGCGTTAGATTTCTTCACGATAACAAATAAAGCAGGGCATTGCTATTCATATAAGCAAATGATGAAGAAATTAGAGACCAGATTCGGCGACCAGGAACTTACCGAGACGTCACGTGTTAAGTTCCAGCAGGCTAGACAAGCATCAGATGAATCTTTAGATGATTGGGCAGATCGAGTGCTGACACTTTCGACATATGCATTTAAGGATCTACCCGAAGAATACAGAATGCGAGAGGCAATTTCGAAGTTCTGCCAAGGATGTATGGATAGAGAAGCAGGAAAGCATGCATGTTTCGAACATCCTAGGAGTATACAGGCTGCACTTAACGCTGTGAAGCATCACCAGTATATCTCTGAGGCAGTTGATGGCAAAAAGCATTCCAGAAGATCTAAAGATGATGTGTCAATTAATGCAGTAAATACATCAGCTGAAGCCAGGGTGGAAACAATTGCTGAACAAAGCTATGGAACAGCTTAGCAGTAAAATTCAGCAATTGACTACAACCAATAAAGAAACTGAATCTAGGACAGGAAGAGGGCTATCATGTTTCTTTTTGCAAACAAAGGGGCCACATTAAGAAAGACTGTCCAGGATTTAAAGAATGGTTGAAGAAAAAGGGGCTATCTAACACTACGGAACAACAACGAAATCCAGCAAATCGTGATTTAAACAAGAAAGGGCTGAATGAAATGGCCAACCGTTCAAGCCCGCAGAAGTAACTGGTCAAAATGGTAAAGATTCTGCGACTTCTAGTCCGGAAGCTGATGTCATCTGTGAAGAACAACCAGTTACAGATCACGAAGATGTTATTAGCCTTCGTAAAGGTGACAAGACTTCTAGTCAAGGTCATCAAAGATCATCTAAAACACCCTATAGTTACTGCAACAATTAAATCTGATGAAAAAAGACCATACAGATGGCATGACTTCTAGTCATGTTAATGAAAGTGAAGATATTTTTGAAAGATGGTAATACAGTCAAATTAAATTTAGGTATCCAAGAAACACAGAATGACGGAATTGTCAGCGTTCATCAAGTGCGAGCTGGTTCTTCTTTTGTGTTACTGACAGTCGGTGATCAAGAAGTCAAAGCAAGAATTGACTCTGGTGCTGAAATTACCATACTCTCTTCAAAAGTCTTCGTTACCTTGAGCAAAAAGCCTGCAAAAGTAAAAGATGGAGTTATGCAAATGACAGATCAAGAAGTAGTACTAAAAGGCTTTATCACTAAACCATTAAGATTGCAACTCGGATCTCAAGTATTTCATGAAAGAGTTTATGTTGCACCTATTAGTGATGAAATGCTGCTTGGACATGATATAATGCATCATTTAGGAGTTATGATGGATATGCATTCAGACACTTTAATTGTGAATGGTGAGCAGATTCCCATGAATACAAGCTTTAGAAAGGGAAAGCTGACTATTGCAAGAGTTTCAGTGGCAAAACGTACTGTGGTTCCGCCAAATTCAGTTGTTCGTATGTCATGCAGTCTCAACACACATCTGAGTGACTATTTTATAGAACCTGATGAAAAGTTGAATACAGTTGGTATATTGATGCCAAGGACATTGATGTCTTCAGATACGGAGCCAATTGTTTGTTTAGTCAATCCAACTGACTCTTACAAGACATTCAAGAAGGGTAAAGTGATTGCAAATGCATATGAAGTAGAACATATCCTAGATGAGCAAAGCGAAGTAGCTACATCTCTGCCTAAAGAAAATGAAGTGACTTCTAGTCATTCTAAAACAACATCGTCTAAATCTCGAAGGATTTCTAGTTCTACGAGATTAAGAGTTAGAACAGTCGCCGAACAGTTGTGTGAATCATTAGAGACTCCAACAGAAGTAGTTCCAGATCATCTGCTAAAGTTGTATCAAGCTTCTACTGAACATCTTAATCAGGGGCAAATTAAGAAGTTAGCTAAACTCCTTAGCGATTATGAAGATGTTTTCGCTAAGAGTGATTTCGATTTGGAAGCTTTACTACAATAGAGCATACCATAGACACCGGAGATGCAAAACCCATAAAACAACGCATGAGGCGCACACCAGCTTGTGTTGTTGGGGAGGAAGAAGAGCATCTGAAGAAAATGGTGGATGCCGGTGTCATACAGGAGTCTGTATCAGAATGGGCGTCCTCTCCAGTTCTGATCAGAAAGCGTGACGGATCTGTAAGATGGTGTATAGATTACAGAATATGATAAACAGAGCCCTTAATGATGTCACGGTTAAAGATACTTTCCCATTACCATTGGTCGAAGATTGCTTATATACATTGTCGGGAAGCATCTGGTTTTCTAAATTAGATGCAAACTCAGCGTATTGGCAAGTCAAGATAAGTGAAGAAGACCGAAAGAAAACAGCGTTTCTAACAAAATACGGTTTGTTTGAGCATGTTAGAATGGGGTTTGGTCTGACCAATGCACCAGCCACATTTTCCAGAGTGATGAATCTGATATTGCGTGGATTAACTTGGAAAACGGTACTGGCATTCTTAGACGATATATTGGTGCTGGGAAGGAATTTTGAGGACCATCTTGGAAATATAGCCGAAGCCCTAGAAAGATTCCGCACACATGGTTTGAAGCTAAAGCCAAGAAAATGTGTTTTCTTCCAAAAAGAAGTAGAATTCCTTGGAAGAACAGTTAGTGGGAAATAAAATGGCCATGACTTCTCGAGATATAGAAACAGTAGCCAACTGGCCATGTCCAAAAGTCATCCAAAGATGTTGAAAGGTTTTTAGGCTTAGCAAATTACCATCGTACATTTGTCAAGAACTTTGCGGAGATAGCACTGCCATTATACAAACTAACGGGAAAGAATGAATTTCATTGGGGCGATAAAGAACAAGAAGCATTTAATACATTAAAGGTAGCTTTAACATCACCACCAGTTTTAGCTTTACCAAATCAAGAAGATTCTTTTATATTAGATTCGGATGCTTCGGATTCGGCTATAGGTGCAGAATTACTTCAGGTTCAAGATGGAGAAGAGAAAGTCATTGCTTATAGCAGCTTTTCATTAACTCCAGAACAAAAGAACTATTGCACCACCAGAAAAGAACGTTTGGGCATTGTGAGGTTCACGAGGCAGTTTAGGCATTACCTTTTAGGAAAAGTTTTGTCGTGTTGGGCTTTCTTTAGGGATTCTGTATTTTTATCTATTTAATGATCACATCCGTGTTATTTGTGCCGTGTGGCGGCTGTAAAAAGTCTCCCCGTACATTTAATCAATGATGTTATATTTTCGATCCTTGAAGATCGTTCAGCACGACATAATTGTTGTGCTTGTGGTATTTTTAGTTTCAACTTTTCGGCATTTTCTAGTTGGGTGGTTCCAATATTCCTACTTGAATAATGTTGAATCACCCTTAGGATATGTTGCCTGCTTTTTAAATTTGTCTTTTGACGTCTTATCTGTGATATGCAGGCTTCATAACCTCTGATCCCCTTTCAAAATTCCATTTTAATTAGTTCCGCCCATTGTTTTCTCGTTTAGGGCACACGCTTTTTATTACTTGGGGACGATACGCCGCTCTTCATGGAATGGCACGGAAGTGTCACATTGAAGGTTCCATGATAACCGCCGTATGAACACATCTGCGGATGTTTCTAAATTCAAAATTTTACTATTTCATGTTTAAATGTTGAATTCTGCTTAAGCCGGTGCTAGGGGGCGTGGACGATAACTTGGCACTTTCCAGTACCGTCCATGAACAGGCTCAATCAAACCGAGCCTGCAACATTTTCAATTTTGTCGTGTTGGGCTTTCTTTAGGGATTCTGTATTTTTATCTATTCACTGTGAGAACCGATCACTCCAGTTTGACCTGGTTATTAAGATTTAAGGAACCACAGGGTCAGCTGGCTCAATGGATAGAGGAACTTTCACAGTATAACATGATTGTTAAACATCGAGCTGGATCGAAAAACGGCAATGGC